TTCATTTCAACAAAATGGGACAATCATCAGAAGCTAAACAAGAAACAACACAAAGGCACTCACAAATGTGTTAGTCTCTTCAGCTCCCCAATCTCAGGGGGAATCACATCTTGTAGTTTATTCCACCTCAGGTTTCTAATGGTAACAACAACAATAGTTAATGGTTAGGCTAAGCATCTATAAAAATTGATACAAATAACACAATCCTGTCACATAATTTCTTAGTACAAATTCGATACTGTATTGAATCCTGTCCTGAGATTGGTCTAAGAACAATAAACTGAAGGAAAAAAAAAGAACATACAGTACTTTCAGCCGTTTCAGTCGCCCAATTTGTGGAGGGATTGGACCGGTTAGCTTGTTGTTGTGTAGATCCCTGAGAAAACCAAACAAACCAAAAACCATTTTCAGTGTATGTAACTATCTCAGAACAGCAAAAAGCACTGAAGAATTCTCAGGCATCTCTCTATTGTACTACAATGATCTTCATTTCACAAAACCTGGTTGCCAAAATCGATAAATCAAACGAGTTCTCACATAAATCTACCAAAATGGCAGGTTTTAGGAAGCAACTTACAGTCTAGTCAAATCCAAAAGGTTTGTTACTGCAATAGGGAAAGGTCCAACAATCGAAACCGCATAAACTTCTCTGCGAATCAGATTTGATCAAAGAGGAAAAGCTCAGTCAAGCAAACAAATCAAATTCAAACACCAAAATATCAGAAGAAATTAGACTTACAGTTCTGTGACAACCCTATAGTCTCCTTGTGTAGAGCAGGTGACACCAGACCAAGGTGGAAGATCTCCATCTCCACAAGGATCATCACCAACCCATGAATAAACCACTCTCCATCCCAAAGACGCTTTGATTTCATTCAAAGCTTTCACTGTGCAGAAGCCAATCAAATCACTGAGATTATCAGATCTGTTCATTGTTCACACAAATTCTCTAAGTTTCAGCTGAGCTGAGCTCAGATTAGAAATATTTTTTTAAGAGAAAATCTCGAAATTGCATGCTAAATCATGAAAATTGATAAGAGATATAACGAATCTCGATAATGGGTATCTTCCAAATCTATTAAGAGCTATAGAAAACAATCAATGGAAGATCCATGAACACAAAATCAGACGGTTGTTAAGCAGAATTTACCATCTCGCTTCAACGTCTTGGAGTGAGCAAGAGCAAAGAAGAGAGAGAAGATGCAGATCAGAAGAAGCTCACAGCGAGAAGCCATACTTTTGCTCAACAGGCAGAGTGAAAGAGAACAAACGGATCTAAGAGACGAGCGAAATTAAAAAATCCATTTTTGTTCTACCTCCTGAGATTCGAATACGTGTTTTCAAACCCGCATTTCACCGACGGGTCTGGGTAGCGATCCGGGTGCGGTGGTTAAATTCTCATCGGTTCGTGCCAGATTATTGGTTTTGTATCAACCGTGTCCGGTTTAGTGTTATGTAAACTGTAAAATGACAAATTCACCAATGAATTAACATTGTTGGGTATATTTTTAAGTCATTTTATGTTAACAACGTCGTTTTCTAAATATAACCGGCGGAAATTGTATGTAGACAAATCGGTTATGGTTATTTTTCCCCAATTAAGTAGTTACATTACATGTAGTGTTAAACATGACAAATGAAAAATAGTGATGTCATTAAAGGCCATTAGGATTTAGCCATTGAACACTCTTTGAACATGAACATTCGGTTTAGTAGAGAAACAAAACACGGTTAGATTAATTTCCTTCAGTGTGATCAACACCGGTTTACTCATATTTGATTGAACCAAAATCAGTTCATTATATCAAAGTCGGCTAGGTTCTCAAACTGAAACGAAAAATATTATAATAGAAGATCAAATGTATGACAAACACACAGTTTCAATGTTTCATATAGCCAAAAGATCAAATAAAAACCACAATATTCTTAAGTTTGATAAAGAGAGCAAAAAAACAACAAGAAGCAGATCAGTCCTCAGAACTGCAAGATGTGTCTCCACCAGATGAAGAAGACTCGCTGTTAAGCTTCTTCAACTCCTCGTACGCCCATTCCAGTCCGTGACAGTAATGCACCGGAGGATTAAACCTGGTATCAGTAATCTCATCCGGCAAGAACGCACCATTCTCCACCAGAAACTTCACCGCTTCTCTCTTCCGCTCTTTGGCCGCAGCATGGAGAGGTGTCCACCCGCAGGAGCCCCAGGTTCTGGCATCGATGTTGGCCCCACGCTCGAGGAGCAAGTCCATGACCTCTATGTGACCTCCCTCAGCCGCAAGGTGAAGCGGGCTAACTCCTTTTGATTTGGGTCCCCATGCTAGAGCGTTCACGTCAGAGCCTTGGTCGAGAAGCTGTTTGACGGATTTCAGATCGCCTTTCCTGGCTTTGATGTGGAGCGGAGTCCAGCCTCTGTCGTCCACATTTGAGGATCTGCGTCTGAATGAGTTACGCCGGAGAGAGAATACAACCGGCTGTTCTTGGATCATTTCGGGTCTGAGCTGAAGTTTAACAAGAAGTAGCTACGAAAGTAGGATGACGACTTATAACCAAAGAAGATTTCCTCAAGAACTCGCAAGCAGGTACTACTTTTGGCTAGAGACACGCAGCAATATCCAGAAAACACACAGAAGCAGGAAGGAGGAAGACTTATGTAATTCAGTTGGAAACGGAGCAACTAAATTATGGAGAGGCAACAAAGTAATTGGCAATGCAGTAAGGGAAAGAGGGATTCAACACAGGGCCAAAGACACTAAGCTTTTGAGGGATCACAGACAACGCCATAGACAGGGAAGAGGAAATGAGCATCACTTTGAAAGGGTTAGAAGCCTAATGATTATTGAGGATCCTAGCAGAGCACAACCACATCGAGACTGAGAACTTTAGCCAAGAAAGTAGTTGATGGGAACTTTAGGCTCAAACACTCAATATCTGCCAACAAAAGAAGGAGAAGAAAACCAAATTAGTGAAGCCAGATGAAAAAGATAAGAACAGTGAAACAGTCCCAAATTCGTTCAACTTCAGCTATTGTAGAGTTTTCATTATTTAATTCAGGTAGCGTACAAACACCAAAATCCAATCACAACACGCTTATAGTCTTTAGAAATGGCCGTAGGATTCTCAGGTATTAAAAACTCTGTAAACGAGGCGATCGAATTAGACACAAAACCCTCACAAGACAAATCAGTCGAATCAAGAGAACTAACGTTGATCACCAATCAAATCAATCGAATCAAGAGCTAACGTTCATCACCAATCAAGCCCTCCAAAAAGCTTCTAATTTCACACAAATCAGAACAAATTCAACCAAAACTAAGCAAAAAAACAGATCAATTTCAAAAATGGATTAACAACAATCGAGGAGTTCCAGGCAAACTGATTCGACGAAAACAAGGATCGAGAAAGTCGTAAGAGGCTCGTACCGTACCCAGCGAGGAGAGAGAGAAAGAGAAATGGTGAAACCAAACTCGGGATTGCAGATTTTCTTCTCGCTGAGGGATATTGAGTTTGCACTAGGGTTTTTTCGTGGAGATAGAATCGAATTCTCTGACGAAGAAGAAGAAGGCTTGATCGGAGAGAAATATCGGTTTTGTTTACTAAATTTATTTGTCGACGAATATTCCAGCTCATACATCATCCTAAAGAAAGGCTTCTCACATATCGGGCCTTAGTATATGGCCCATTCTAAAACCGGTTCTTTTTTACTTAGATTGAACAAAGAAAGAAAGAAGCAAACCAATTAACATTTTAAACCGGTTTATTAGATCATTTTCCCGGTTCCAATTTTGGGTAGCCCTAGATCAAACCAATATCATCATCGTCCACCTTGGAACGGAGAAGCTCAACAACACCACCAAGCTCGCGAGGAAATTAATAGCTTCCGGCGTTTTAATCCTATCGCTCCACGAATTTCTCTTCCTTGTGATCGTTCAATTAGGTATGTATATGGATTTGGAGTTCGGTATCGTCAATTCTATGCTTTATTGGTGTATATCTGTCGGTGGAATCAAATGTTCTAGTCTTTAGGTTGTGGCTGAAATTTTATCGATTTTGACCAAGTTTAGATCCTAAAGTGCGTTTATGTCCTTCTGGTTATTGGTTCTGATATTGGAGCTGGTTCTCATACGTTATGCACTACTCAAATCAAAATCTTGCATAACAATCTCTTCACTGGTTAGATTTTCTTGAGATAAAAATAGCTTTTTTGCTTTGTAATTATGTTCTTGATCCACTGTCTATAAACCTTAATATATGTATGTAGCCTTTATCTTGACTCTTTCTCTTCTCTAATGGCATCTACGCAGGCTTTGTACAATAAAGGCCAATCTTGAAATGGTAAATAAAAGTCAAGTCCTGAGCCTGTGTCGTTCCATGCTTCGAGCAGGACGTCAATACCCTGACTACAACATCAGGGAGTACACAAAGCGAAGGACCATGGATGGGTTCCGCATGAACAAGGATCTCACTGACCCATCAAAGATAAATGAGGTTTATGCTGAAGCTAAAGAGCAGCTGGAGGTTGTAGAGAGGGTGCTCAAGGTTTACTTGGCTTATCCTCCCAAGACCAAGAACATCATGGAACTCAAGCCTCAGGTAGGTGGATGTTGATGTTTGTCATTTCAGAACCCTCAAAATCTATTTGTGTTACTGAAGAGAATAATTTGAGAGGAATAGATTGGTAAAGGGAATGAAGAGTTTCTGGCTTTTTGATTCATCTTAATAATCTCACACGAGGATGCAGTTGTTGCATACAAGTGTTCCAACTTTTTTGGAGTTTCTGTAATCTTGTGTCTTAGCACTTTATACTTTTAGGTTACAAATCCGGATTTGAACGCATCTATAGTCAGAATTTCCGGAGATATCTGTATGAATCAGAGAAAAACAGCAAAATTGCTCATGTTATGTTATGCACAATAAGTTTTTTTGGTTGTTCATAATAAGATCAAATACAAGCATAGATATAAATGTATATAACACGATTAGAGTAGAAATTTTTTAAGCAACAAGTTCAAAGAAGATCAAAAAAAAAAAGAGGAAGGCGTGTAATGAACATAGAACTCTGTTCATCTACTTCCCAAGCAAACGGCGGCCACGTTGGTTAGATTGTTGGACTCTGAAGTTGAGTTCGTCAACATCATCCTGAAGATGATCAAGTCCTTTGTTCTGCTTTTCGATTTCACTTCCCATGTCGACTGCCATGCTCTTTAGCTCCCCCAGAATATCACTCAAATCTGAAAGCCCATCATCTTGTTTTGCTTGTTCCATCTGTAGTCAAAGAGTATATCTTTAGCAAGTTTACAGCCAAAAGACAAAACTTTTTTACTCAAAGCTTTCGATGTTCATCACTGTCTCAGGTTTGGATCTTTAACACACGAAAAAAAGAAGAGAGGGAAGAGAAGTCCTAACCTCCACTCTCTGATAGGCATCAGCTGATTCAGGGAGAGGTTCTCGGGTTCTTGATTGTGATTTTGGTGCTGGGCTCAGTCCCAGTTTTTCCCTTTTCTCCAAGTGGTTAACTCTTCTCGTTGGTGAGTGATCTACGCAGATACACAGAACGGGAAATTAGGTAAACGTAAAAAACCTGCGAGAATGAGTTGAGGAATCAATGACCAAGAAGAAGCAAACCTCTAGTTATCACAGGACCATTGATAGGACGAGTCTTCTTCGGCTTCCAAGTCTTTGAAAACATGCCTCCAAGGCTTCCAAGAAGCTTCTCACCCTAACAACACCAAAGCCAAATAATTCAGCATCTCAAATTCTCAATCAACCAACTTATAGTCAGGGGACACACAGTAAAGAAGGAAAACTTACTCTGCTAAGATCTTGATCGATTTCAACAGCTTTATGGTGCGTCCTTGTGATCTGCTCGCCCTGGTCATGCAACATAACCAAAGTTCTAGTAGCATCTGACCTTATATCTTCTGCAACCTTCAAACAACCCTGTACAGATTTCGTCGTCTCCTCAGCCTTGTACACAGCATATCCCTCAAGCTCCTGAACCGACTGGTTTTCAACACCTCCAGAATCGCGGAAGTTGTTCTTGTACTGGTACTTTGAGTTCGAAGTCAAAGACTGTTTCGATGAACTAGGTCCTTTCTTAACCTCACCATCAAAAGGGTTTGTCATTTCATCCAAAAAGGGTGCAGAGGAAGTCCTCTTTGAGGGGTTTAGGGTATGTTTGTCGTCCGATTCATCATCTGAATCAAAAGGATTTGGCTTGGTAGAGTTGAGAAATCCAGGA